ATCCGAATCATGTTTGGCCAGCTAGGAGAGCTCTATAGCCAAGACACGGGCCTGCAAGGAAGCCCCCTGCCCAAGGGCATGCAGGTGTCAGCCAAGGTTGGCAGGTCCCCGAGGCATGTACACTGGGGGTGCAGGGAAAAAGTGTTTCTTAACAGTGGGTCCCGTAAGGAGCAAGTTCCTCCCTTTTTAGGCCCCTATCCATGTTTCCGACAACTTGAGTGAGAAAGTCTCCATTTGCGACCTTTCCTCGCAGCACATCCGACTACCGCTCTGTCACCTGCTGATCTGTGTTCTGAACAGAGAGAAGGAGCAGGCGCCTGTGTGGGCAGCAGCTGGACGGACCCTACCTTGCTGTATTTTGATTGAATTTATTGTTCTGGTTGCTTTCTAATGGTGATAAGAATTCATGAGGTGTTTTCAAAGGAAGTGATATAAAGATTCCCGTTAAAACAAGCTGAAGTTAAAAAGTAAGCTAATTTAAATAAAAATATTCTGCAAGTAATAGGACCCGTGGTGTGCAGGTTCGGTAAGAACTGTGGCGCCCGCACATGAGCGACTGAGCTGTGGGAACAAGAGTTCAAGGAGACTGCTTCTAGACCAGGGACTGTCCACCCCGGCTGCACTCCTTAGCTTGGAGAACACAGCTTTTATGACCAAACAAAGTAAAAGCATGTACATGAGGAAAATTACATGCTGAACCATAACATCATCTGGGAGGCATCCTGTGGAATGTGAACAATAGTTATGGAGTGTGGTAATGTGGTTTGTGTCTTCTTTCGGCTTCTTTGGGTTTTTTAGCAGTGAATTTACATCAGTGACACAGTAAGAAAAACAAAATTAAAGAAAAGGAACTATAAAGTAGAAGCTGGAGAATAAGGGTCAGATGTGAAGCTGGAATTAAAACAAAAGTAAAAAACCAAACCCAGCACAGCAACCTACAGCCCTCTGTCCCCACGTATGATGTCAGGAAAGGGTCCTGGTTCTCGCCGGACCCCCGCACTCACGTACCGCTGGGAAGGTTGTCTCCCTCTGGGGGGCCTCAGTTTCCATTCTGTGAGATGGGGACTTGCGCTGGGTTGGTGGTTCTCAACAGGGGGAGGGGTTTTGTCTTCCAAAAGAATATCAGGTGTTATCTGGAGACCTTTCTGGTTGTCGCAACTGAGGAAGGCGCTCCTGGCATCCAGTGGGTAGACCCCAGGGACGCTGCCCAAGGTCCTACAATGCCCAAGACGGGTCCCTACACCAAAGGGTTGTCTGGCCCCAAATGTCAGTGGTGTGGAGGCTGAGACACCTGTTCTGCATGGTCTCTGATGGTTTTCCCAGGTCTGACCAACATTCAGTTCTGTGAGTTTAGGCCAGACTCTCCTCCCCACCTGAAAGAGAAGCGATGCTCTCAGGGCTGACCAGAGGGTGGCTGTGGCCCACTCCACTGTGGAGAGAAGAAATAAACAACAGGACCAAAGGCAGGAAACATCTCCAGTCCTGGGCTGAGCCAGTGGCCCTGCAGTAAAAGGCAGATGTGGAAGAGCTGTCTCCTCCCTGGGGACTCAGGCCCCTCTCGCTCACATGGGTGAACAGGGCCCTCTCCTGGTGTGTGTCAGTATAACAAGCTACGTGCTGAAAAACCACACAAAATTTGAATAAAATCATGATAACTTTTAAAATCCATATTTCCCTAAGGACCACTTTATGATTTCTCAGGGTAAAAGATACCAAAGAAAATTAGTAACAGAATAACAGAATTCCCATTAAAAGCATAACAGACTTATAAACAGATACTTAAGAAATGCTGACTCATTTCTGATTAGGCTCGAGTATATTTAAGAGCATGCCACAACCAGACCCTTTGTGACCACCTGGTCACCACAGACACAGCACAATCAGTGCAGAGTGGGGACAAGAAGGTCTTTTCAATCAGTGGTTCTGGGACATCTTGGCAAGAAATGAAATTGGATTTCTACTTCCCACTAAACACAGACATCAGTTCCAGATACATAATACACTTAAGGCCTGTTACTCCTTGAAAGGCTAAACTCTAAAAAATTTTAGAAGAAAACATATGTTTATGATTTTTAGGGCAGATTTTCTACTTTTTTAAAAGACTTTATTTATTTAGTTTTAGAAAGAGGAGAAAGGAGGGGGAAAGAGAGGGAGAGAAACATCAATGTGTGGTTGCCTCTTGTATGACCCCCACTGGGGACCTGATCTGCAACCCAGGCATGTGCCCTGACTGGGAATTGAACCAGTGACCCTTTGGTTCTCAGGCTGGCACTCAATCCACTGAGCCACATGTGCCAGGGCTAGGGAAGACTTTAAAAATATCTCACAAGAGCACCAGCCATATAAGAAAAGAGGAGAAGATTAATACATGAAACCTTAGAAACTTCTGTTCATCAGAAGACAAGCTACATGGGTGGCCTCATAATGCACATCTCGTCCTGGGACTAGCTTTTTTTCCACTCAGTATTATGACTCACACCATTTTTTTACACTGGTATGTACAAAGCTACTTTAGTACCTCTCCCCTCCCCTCCCTTCCCTTCCCTTCCCCCTTCTTCCCCTCCTCTCCTTTCTTTCTTTGGCTATTAGTTCCCCTCTCTAATGAGAACAATTGATGTGTCATTTAAATAATTATGTAATTCCAGCTTCACAAAGTAAAAAGCTCCAGAGAGCTCCTTCATGCCTCATTCTAATCTCAGAAAGTGTCTCAGCGTGGAGATTTCCCCGGTTGTCTGCACAGAAAGCAGAGTGTACAGCTCTGGGGAGCCCTGATCCTCCCCGTTTGCTGGCCCTGCCTCCCTGGGGCTGGAACCAGCGCTGAAACCTCAGGCCTTAGTTCTTCCACCTCTGCTGCAGTGTGAGCTTGGGGGAGGGGCTCCTCCCACCCCGTTTGCCATTTCCTCCCTTGTGAATGGGGGGGTTGGACCATGTACACCATTGGGGTCTCTCTCAGGTCTGAAGCTCTTCGGTCCTGAGTGTCCAGTTGTCCTCACTGATCTACGCAAGGCCCCGCCCAGGCAGGGCTGCCTGAGGAAAATTTCCCCTTTCTTATAGCCCAATCAGGGTCTGCACAGGGGAAGCTCAGCTGATGCTCAGGAGGTGCTAACAGGAGACACCCAGGGCCTGAGGCTTGGGGACCCCCCCCACCTCCACTCCTGATGCTCTTGGAGCATCTCTCATCTTCCTGAGGCCTTGAGCAGAGAGCAGTGCTTCCTAGTTATCTCATCCCTGTGACTTCTGAAGGCTCCGTTGCCATGGCAACCCAGACACCCTGAACCAGGTTACAAACCTGTTACTGTAAAGAGGAACATTAGCTGTCTCAGAAGCCCATTTAGTGGGGAACTGGGAGGCAATTACTCCTTATGGAGGAAGAGCAGAACTGCGCACTTCCAGCCTTCCGGTGACTGCATACCCCTCCTGTGCGGGTGGGGGGCCCCGAGGCACGCAGTGAACCAGACGACTGGGAGCAAGAACTTTCTTTGGCTTTTATTCTGCGCTCTTCCTATCCTGGCTTCCTCACCTCTCTCTATCTTCATTCTGCCCCCTTCCCGAGCCTTCCTTTCCCTCCACTCTCCACGTGTCTCCGGCCTGCAAGGTGACCCCTGGGCTAGACAGCTGCAGATAGCCTGTCCTTCAGTCACCTTCCAGTCGTTCTTCTCCCCATGGCCAAAGAGCCTTTAAAAAACATAAGTTAGAGGCCCTCACTCTATCTCCCAAGGCTCCGATGGCCCAGGGACTGTGGTCACCTGCTTCTCCCACCTCAGCTCCTGCCTCGTCCCCTGCGCCTCTTCACTCCGGCTCACTCAGGGGTTCTTTCTTTCTCTTGAACACATGGAACTCCATCCTCTCCTGACACCCATCCCTCTGTCTGTCCTATCTCCCTGGTGATTGCTTCACGGCCTGTACCACCGCCTGCATTCAAAGTCTCTGGTTATTTACTTCTCCCATCGCCTCCTCTCTGGAGTAAAAACATAATGATCTGTCTCTCTTGTGCCAGGCCATTTACCTGCCACCTGGAACTGCACCTGGCTACGAGCAGGCTATCCGCACCGCACACCAAATGCAGGTACAGAGAGAAAATCATGGGAGTGGACGCCCATGTTCCCACGGCGTCTTCAGGAACATGCATCCCCACAGCGCCATCTCTCCCCCTTCCTCCCTCGGCTCCAGCTGCGCCGGCTTCCCCACGCCGCCGGGAGGGCTGGGCCCACCTCTGGACACCAGCCGTGGAGGACAGCAGAGACAAAGGTGGACCGACCACCGTCGGACAAACAGTGGCTTGTTCCGTGTGGTCCTGAGAGGTGGGTGACTCCCACCAATTACTGGGTTCTCACTGTGTGCTCTGGACATGCATCATCTCCTTTAAACCTACAGTTACTGTGTAGGGAGGAATCGCTACCTCCCACCACAACAAATGAAGATAACACTATGTACTCTTCCCCCAGCTGGAACCCTTGTCCCTGGCTCTCCACCAGGTGAATTCCTGGTCATTCTGCAGGTCACCTCCTCAGGGAAGTCCTCCCTCACCCCCAGACCACACCAGGCCCTCGGTTCTACGTTGCCTTTAAACCTGGCACTCATCCCGCTCAGCCCTGAGGGTGACTGTGAACTCACACCACTGCTCGGCATGGGTCTCCCTGCTACTGTCCAGGACATGAGGCGGCGACTGGCTACTTCTATGTCCACAAGGGCAGTGCCTGTCCTGCGGCAGCCAAGGAGTCACCATTTGTTTAACGAGTGACAGGAGAATTAGGACTCCCAGATGGCCAAAGTCCTGCCTCTAGGAAAGGTGGGCGGGGTGGGACCCGCATTCCTCCTAGCCCTCGCATGGCCGCAGGTGTCAGAACGGGATGCAGAAGGGGCGGGAGCCCCGCACTGCAAGAATGTGAATCCATGCTGCAGGGCCCCTGGGCAGGTGCAGTACAGGGGCCTTGGAGGTCTGGCTGGGCTAGAGGCGCCCCTCCCAGCCTGGCACACTCCCCTCCAGGCTCAGGACTCACCAGAGCTTGCTCTATGAGCAGGCAGAAGAGGATGGCATTGCCCACTTCCCTCAGGCTCTGGAACACATCTGTTTTGAGCTCTGCGTACTCAATGATGTCTTTCAGCTGGTGGTGGAAGAACTCCAGGATCCCTGGGGGAGGAGGGAGGACGGTCAGCGGGAGGTTGAACGGCTCAGCCGGGTTAATGGGAAGAACCAGCTGAGCCGCACACCTGACTCAGGGAGAGCAAAAAGCCAAATCAAACCTCGGGGTGAGATTTCTTTCAGGCTGAGGACTAGAGAAAAATCAGGCTGCTAGTTCTGATGTGTTTTTGGAATAAAACAAAACACACACACACACACACACACACACACACACGAGTAGCCAAGGTCTTCTGTAGTTTCCTCAAAGAGTCACCTGAATTCCTCATAGGGACAGAAATTAACATTTATTTACCAGTGTTAGATGCTGTGCTAGGGACTTTATCTGCAGTACCGCCTTTAATACTCTTAACACCACCACAAACTAGGCACTAATACTCTGGTTGGTTCAGATGAGGCTCAGAGAGGGTAAGTGGCATGCCCAGAGTCACACAGCTTAGCACGTGGGGCAGCTGAGACCAAAAACCAGAGATTTTGGCCCCAGCCTTTTCCTTTTCTGAATCCCACTGCCCCAGTGCCTGGCATCCTGATTTTTAGAAAAAACACCAGGCGTCAAACTCTTGGTCTCCATCTTTCCTAGGCCCTTGATTCAGTCCCTACTCCACTCATGAGGGAAGGAAAGAATCATTTCTCTGCCCAGAAGTCGAATGGCAAAACTCTTGTTTCCTGACTCACCATAGAAATGCCACCCGGGGCACCAGCCTCCTCTGTCTGGGCACATGGAGGAAGGAATCCCAGAGGCGCTGAGCTAATGGAGACCTTTGCAAGAAAACTCGGCTAGTACACGATTTAAACACTCTCACGTCTGCAGCGCTCTTACGCTTCCCTTCCCCGGTGGTCCGGTGAGGCGGGCCCAGCAGGCATCACTTACCATGGCTGATGGAAGACCCTACTCCTGCCCAGAGGGACTACACAGGGTTCAAGGCTACCTATCTAGCCAGTGGCAGAGGAAGGGTGCAAACCCAGAGCTCTGCCACCTCGCTGGCCTGTTGGAGAAGCAGACACCCAGGTTGGGTGGCCAGAGCCCCTGCCCCCATGGGAGGGGTTTGGATTATTTTCCTATCACCAGCCCTGCCCTTGGTGCCCCATCACCAACCTGGGGAGCCATACTCATGCCGGGGCAAGCGGCATATCTTGGGCATCACCTCGATGAGCGTCTTCACATACTGGAGAATGGTGCCTTGGAGCTGAGGAGGCAAGAGGACAAGATGAGACCAGCCCCCGCTGCTGCACAGGTGCATCTTCAGGCCGAACGCTGGGCTACTGGGGTGCACAGGGGTTCTGCTGAAACCTGGGGGTGAGGGCAATGGACTGAACGTGTCCCCTGGAAATTCCTGTGTTGAAACCCTCATTCCCAGTGTGATGGTAGGAGGTGGGGCCTTTGGGAGGTAGTCATGAGTGTCCTTAAAAGAAGAGAAGTGAGAGATGATGTCCCTCTGCCATGCGAGGACCTGGCCAGAAGGCAGTGCCTGTGCCCTGGGAGGGGGCCCCGACCGCGGACGTCCAGCCTTCAGAACTGGAAGCACACGCGTGTTGCCGAAGCCCCCAGTCTGTGGCGTGTTCGTTGGAGCAGCTGCGCTGACGCAGACGGCGAGGGGCCGTGCTCCAACAGGACGGAGCAGGTTCTCCCCCAGCAATGGGGTAGCACCGGTGCCCATTATCGGGGAAAACGGGCCTTTGTAAGACAGCAAAGGGTGCTTTCTCACCACCCCACTGGGCTTACAGACTTTAAAGGGGCAGTTTCTAGGCCCGGTGTCCTTCCTGGGCTTGGGGTGCCTCCATGGGATCCAGACTAAGAGCTCAAACGTGATGGGGCCAAGGAGCTGTGGGGACTGAGACGCACTCTCTTATTTAGGCGAGAAAAATCCAGAGCATCTTGATCCTTCCTGTGTCCAGACATCTTCAATCAATGGCCACACTTTCCTGTTTGACTATCAGAGGGACAGGTCACAGGCACCAAGGGATAAGGGCAAAGGACTCTGTGGGTGATTCCCACAGACACAGCTGAAGTGTCTTGAATTCTTAGGCCAGCAGATCTCGTTCCTATCAACCCCACTTGGGCACGTCCCAGGCTCCATGGTGGCCCGTCCTTACCAAGCTCTTAACGATCTTCAGCAGCTCCTCCATGACCACGGCGATGCCCTGGTATCCCAGGAGCCTGCAGATGGTCTTGAAGTGAGGGGGGCCCACGAAGTTCCTGTAGGAGCTGTAGATGTGGCTGTAGGCGATGTTGAGAGGCTGGAAGACAGAGGATGTTGGAAATAAGCAGCTGAGGACCTCCTGGTGGGAGATGTTTCCCTGACAGAAAGGACGGAACCCTGGCGTCACCTGTGCACTCTCACTGGGGACCCCTGGACACACGTTGGCAAGATGCTGGCCGTGGAGAGAGGTGTGGTCAGTGGCCACAGGATGGAGCAAAGCTCATTAGATAGAGCAGTGGGTTCCCCAGTGGAAGAGGGGAGAGGACTTCCAGGCAAATATCTTTTTTACAGAGACTCCTGCTACCCACACCTGTCCACACACAAACCGGGACTTGTATACACTGAGATACCAGGTGGAGGTAAAACTGATGATTTTCTTTTTCTAGAGACATTTTTGGTTCCAGGAACCAGCTAGAAGAATCCCATGAGAAAGCAATAGCCAATTCAACGCTGTCTTTTTTTCTTCTCCTTTTAGTCATCTCCATCCACAATGGGTCTTGGGAATGAACAGGCCTGGGAGTTCGTTGCTAAGTGCATTGGGGAGATCAGTTTCCTCCTCTATGAAGTGAGGGGGATGGGTTAAACCTGAGGTTTCCCGGCGTTTTGAGAAGCAGTGTGAAGAAAAGACGTCCCAGGAACTAATCTGTGAACAGACGAAGGCAGAGCTGCCCTGTCTGGGTGCTGGTTGGGGGCTCAGGGCCCTGGCCACTGACTGGCCACCTCCGTTGTCCCCAGAACCCTACAAAATCCCCCAGCGAAGGAGCGGGATCTCTTTAAAATCTCCGTGGAGAATCTATGTCCCTAAAATACAGGTCCCTAAATTGCTCTGATTTGGTTACCAAAGTTGTCTCTGACTTTGTTTTGAAATGCTGCCACTTACAGAGACCCTCAAACCAGGCCCCGTGAAGCTTTGTACATTCTCATTTAACCCACGCAACAACCCTCTGGGGACAGACAGCTCTTGGCCCCATTTCACAGGTGAGGAGCCTGAGACTCAGGGTGGTAAGTACCTTGCTCAAGATCATACGGTAACGGAGTCCTGCTCTGCACCCAGGGAGGTCGGATTCCAAAGCCCATGTTCTTAACCTCTCCTTAACAATGGTGGATTCTGGAACTGAATTCTATTATAACCCCCCCTTTTTTTTTTTAGATAAGGCTTCACTACAAAGCTTAGTGCTGAGTGGTCTTCCTGCCTACACTCAAGAACTATAAAACTTTTCAATGCAAACTGTGTGAATACAGGAAGACCGCATCTGAAGTTCTACTCGCTGGATTCTCTATTAGTTGGCTAAAGAGAAACACTGTGTGAATGAAATGGGAGCCGTCACGGTGCTTTCGGAGGACTGCCAGGTTCTCCACTGCCTCTGGAGCCATCGTGGGAGGACTCAGTTATGCTCAGCCTAGATTTTCCGCTACGTATGTTTTAGTATAGAGGAATTCTTCTAAAATCTGCAAAACAAACACCACAATCAGAGTGCCCTCTGATAACAAGGACCCACGAAGATTGCAATTGGAAAACCCACAACAAGTGCAGATTCTGGAGGAATCCGAACACCCCCCCATCAGGCAGGCTGAGCGATGCTTCGTTTGCTGAGCTCATACCTACGCGTGGGGAGGTTCACACCGTGACAGACGGCAGGCTCCACACTCGACACCAATGTGCTGTCACAGTAAACTCTGCCTGAACCGGGCACCTTCTATGAGGTTCCTACGGGTTTCTAAGTGTTACGGGGTGGGAAGGATTAGGTAGGAAAAGAAATCTAACTAACTTAAAAGTACGATGTTCACTCAAGCTGGTGTTCGGCAAACCCTGGGAGTCTGCAAATTGTTGAGCTTGATTTAGCCATGCCTGGGGGCCGGGCAACATCATTTTCGGTGCATGTGGCAAACCGTTTTGGTGCCTGTGTAACAGGCCACCCTGTCGAACAGGGCTGGGTGCAGGGTGGGGTGAGTGAGGCACTGGCGCACTCACGGTGGGGGACTCACTCTCCCCCATGAGTGCACCTCAGCTCTGATGCTGTTCACAAGGCCCTACTCTGTATCTTCCTGTTTCCACAGTTAGGGATGAGGAGTATGTATCAGTAAACAAGCCCTGGCTCACCGCTGGTGGGGGAAGATGACTAGCAAGGGGCATGAGAGAAATTTCTACATGATGGATATTCCCTACACATTGCTGAGGTTGTCGACTATGCAGATGTATGAATTTGTCAAAGCTCACAAAACCACAGGTATCCTTATGATCCGTGCATTATGGACTGAGTCAGCTTTGCATGTTGAAATCCCAACCCCTATATGTGGGATCTCTGGGAGGTCATTAAGTTATGAGGATGGGGCCCTCATGAATGGGATGAGCGCCCTTGTAGGAAGAGACTCCAGAGCTTCTCCTCATACCCGGTTGCTTGCAATACAATGAGAACAAGGCCATCTGCAAACGAGAAACCGGGCTTTTGCCAGGCACCAGATCTGCTGGCACCTTGACCTTGGACTTCCCAGCCTCTACATAATACAGAAGTGTGGTTTAAGCCATCTGGTGGGTAGTATTCTTGTTATACCAGCCAGAGCTAAGTGTGTTTTACTATATATATGGTTATATGTCTCTATAAAAGTAAATTAAAAAACCCACTGGGCTGTACCACAGCCTAATTTACTTCCTGACATTTTTTCCCAAAGATTAAAAAACGAAAACCTCAATCTAATTTTCTCTAGAAGAGGGCTGCAGCTCGCGCCTGCACAGGCAGGAAGGAGCGGTGACCTGGCCCTGCTCACAGGCCCCAGGGCACTCCCAGTAGGTGGGCTGCACTCCGTCCTGCACCCCCCCATCCACACCACACTCTCCAGGCCTCTCTTCTGGACCCAATGAAGCTCTGAAGCTCTGAGCACTTCTCCTTCATCGCCTTTCAAATATCCTATAAAAGGCATCTCTGAGCAGAAGGCTGCTTTCCAGTGTGTATGCCTGGAGGAGGTAAGACATAATAGGCTACTTTATTTTATTCTGTGATTCTATGACTTCTTTTCCTGCTTTGTCTGAGTCTACAGTTATAAACTGGGCGGGCTCACCTTAGTTCACATTCCAGGTCTGTAAGTTTACCAGCCTGATGATCTTGAGCAAAGTACTTAACCTCTCTTAGCTTTGGTTTCCCCTCAGTGAACAGAATGCCAGCTGTAATTGAGCTGTTGGAGGTTTAAATGAGATAACAGATATGAAACACTGAGCAATGTGCCTGACACGCTGGAAGTACACTTTGCAGTAGAAGCCATTCCTGCTGCTTTGTTTGGTCATTTGCTAACTAAAGACTAGGGAAATGCAGCTTCCAGGTCAAATTTCCACCAGCAGTCATGGCGCTCTGCATGTGAAGAGAGGAATGCATTCATGGAGTGCAATTCCGCACAGCACAGAGGATGTCCCACATGGGAATGTGACGAAGGGCAGAGCTGGGACCAGGTGATGAAATGCACCCACAATGCAGATTTTGCTTAATGGTTACAACACTACAAAGATGGGAGCTGTCCAACAACAGCCTGCTGGGTAGAGGCTCTCCCTGCGGCAGGCGTTCGAGTGGAGGCTGAGAAAGCAGGGAGCCTGCCTGGTGTGGGGGCTGGAGGAGCTGTGGTTAACTCTCCCTGCACAGGTGTGAGTGCCAGTGAGGGCTCCCTGGATGCTCCTAGAGTCTTCTTAACCCTCACTCCCACCCAAGGAGCTTCTGGCACCAGGTTTTCCTTAGCACTTCCTGGCAAGCACAAGTAAAATATTTGCATAGGGTTCAACAACCCTCTGCAGTTCTAAACAGAGAAGAATAATTTTGGAATTGCTTTATCATACACTTTAAAGGCTCACAAATCCACCCTCTAAGTCTGCTCAGTGCACACAGGCAGCTTCTTGTTGATGTTCCTACATCCGTCTTGGATTCCTGGTCAGGACCAGAAGTCTAAGCCTCAGCTGATCTCGCAAGCTCAGGAAGGACCAGCATGAACTGAGCAGAATTAAAATCCTTCTCAGGGAACAAGCACCCCTCGCTTCCAACCCCCCAAAGACACCACACACATGCACCAAGAAACGCCCGCCCGTGCTCAAAAGTCCATGCGCACACACCCCCGCAGGGCACGCGTCCCCCGTCTGACCTGCTGGCTCAACAGGAGGCTGGGCCCTATTGAGAAAATGTGGGAATGTGGGAGCCTGGGCATTTTCTGAGGTTGGGCAAAGAAAAACAGGAATGCAACATGACTTGAGACGTCGGAAACTCACCACAGATCTCTTATACTGAACCAATCCTGCTAATTGACTCAGGTTACAACCCAGGGGTTAGAAATCAATTATGTTTAGGTTGGCTCACCAGCTAGCCCTGGCTGGTGTAGCTCAGTGGATTGAGCGGGGGGCCTGGGAAGCAAAGGGTCGCTGGTTAGATTCCCAGTCAGGGAACACGCCTGGGTTGCAGGCCAGGTCCCCAGTAGGGGGACACACGAGAGGCAACCACACACTGATGTTTCTCTCCCAGTCTTTCTCCTTCCCTTCTCTCTAAAAATAAATAAATGAAATATTCTTAAAAAATAAAATAAAATCCAGCTAAACAAGCCAGCACTACTCACAATACACAAAATAGATAATTTTATGAGATCTTAAGAAATAAATAATCCCGATCTAGGAATCAGAGCCATCTTATTCACGTGACATAGATTTGCTTTGATTTTAACTTTAATTTTTTAAAGGCAAAACAGTATTTAAAGGAGAGAAAAAATATAGTGAATTTGATCTGACAGGTCCTGGACACTGTATTATCTGCATATGGACCTTTAAAATTGTGATAAAGCATATATAACATACAAGCCACTGTTTAAACTATTTTTACGTGTGCTATAAGGCTTTTAGTCACAAGGCCTCTGTCTTTCACTAGATGGTAAACAGGACCCCACACAATAAGAGCTATTTTCTTGGCAAAATGAATTTGCAAGCATTTTGCCTCTCTGCTTCCTGGAATCTCAATTGCTGTTTTCGGCGCTCCCAAGAGGAATTAAAACTGTTTCTAATTTCCTGTTTTAGTT